TCTTTTATATATTATTTTATTAGAAATATATTTGATTTTTTTTTTTATGAAAGAGAATTTTATAGAAATATTTGTGAAATATTTCGTAGATGTATGATAATTATAACTTCATTTAGTTAAGTTTATTGAAACATGTTTATATAATATACATTTGTCTTAATATTGGAATTATAGTTGGTACAATTATTTTTTATTTCATTTTTGGTAGAAAATTAAAATATTTACATACAGTATTTATTTATAAATTTAAACAAAATGTTAGCTTTATTTTAACATATAGTCTAGGTAATATGAAACGTGTATATTTGGTGTCATTCCTTTATCCTTCCGTGAAATAATTTCGTATCGATTTGAAATATCATATACCGGTATTTTTTTTTTTAAACATTTTGTTGAAAATAACTCAAGATTTATTTTAAAAATGTGAATGATTATTTAGTGAGAGTTATAGGAATTTACAATATCAACATTTATTAATCAATTTTATTTATAGCGAAAATATTTTAATGTTTATTCAATTATAAAATAAATAAAATGATTTTTTTTCTTAAATATATATTTTGTCGTTATTCTCTAGTAAGATTTATTTAAAATATATAAAAAATGATAAGATATGTAGGAACGTTTTCACAATCAATCGTAAAATAATTAATATTACATAAAAATAATTATTATCATGTTACCCTTTCTTAACAATTTCCTTGTAATTTTGCTTATTACTAACTATAAACTTTGCAAAATATTCCAACCACTCAAAAAAGTGAGACATCAAGATCAACGAAACATCTTTGTTTTCATCGTAGACCCGTTTCATAATCCGCAATGTATATTCTCGTGTCTGTATAGTATGATGTTCCGGTCTTATTCTCAATAAAATTATACAAGGACGCAATTTTCTAGGGTAAAGATCCAATATATCTCTATTACGATTTTTACAACAAACAGATACTCGTTTTAGCACGAAATGTATGAAATCTAGAACTACAGATGCATATCGTAGTCGAATCAATAGTTCTTTTAAAAAATTAAACGTTATTTGAAAAATATACGCAGACTCGATGGTAAGTTCTAATAATTCATTCACTAATTTCTCATTGCTTTGGTTATTCACATAATTTTGTTCCTTTATATCAGAAAACATGTGTACAAAACTGTCGAGCAAAGGTTTTTCTATTAGTTTAAATTTTTGTAAAGTATATATCTTTTCTTTCGTGGACAATTTAAGATGTAAAGTGGAATGTAAAACGTTACATGATAAAGTTTCAGTTTTATTACACGCTTCTAATTCTGATAATCTCGCAAGTAATCGATCTACATGACAGACGAAAACTGTATTCATGGTCGACAGATGTATTATCGCAGTAATTAAATATATCAAAACATCCGTCGAAGGGCACTCGTTCAAAACATCATCGGTAAGATATTTCTTTAAAAGAATTTCTATAAATTTTGTACAATTTTCTTTAGACGCGAATATTCGCAAATTTTTAAAATTATTTGTCATTCCACACCAATTCCGTAAGATATCCTGTGACATAAATACATAAAATGTTAATTTAACAATGTAAAAGAGGATGAAATAGACAAATACACATATAACATGGAACACATATGGAACATACAATTATTAGAATTCGAATGGAATAACGTTGATAAGCTTCCTTGGATACTTTGTAATATAAAAGATCGTGGAACGATGTACATAAAGCATTCAGTATCGTATCAGATTCTAAGCAAAATAAACTTTCTGGCGATATATTATCATAATTCTCGGATAGAATCGTATCTCGTGCATCATCGGAACTCTTTAATATCGCTCTTAATATATCCATATCCATAGTTCGCAACGCGAATGAACGCGTAATTATAAATTTTTTCGTATGTACGAAAGAGGTGGTTACGGTTCATGGAAAAAACAGGAACCTATATGAAAATACAATGTTATTAGTAAAACGTAATTATTATTTTTCTTTCTCTTATTAAAAAGAAAATAGAAGATAAACGAAAGAGATGAGATATTTTGATAATTGTGGGACATACCTTTATCAGTTTTAAGATCGATAATTACGTGTATTTGATGTGTTTTTGTATAAAACGAAAGTTTGGTAAAAACATCACTCTGTCTCGTAAAAGGAATAGCGAATCGTCGATGTAGAGGATTAGGTTAGGAAAAGATATAGGTTAGGATGTATGTCACAAGGATATAACATCGTATTTTTTTTTCACTATCTATATAACGTTATATTACATATATCTGTTATTTATTCTAGGTTAAATTAGGATAAATGTATAATGTATTATCTAAGAAAGGTAACGTATTAGATTTGGAAACAGAACATATCGTTCCGCTTAATTATGATGTGGATTATTACTGATAGGTTCTTTGTTATGATGGGAGGGGGTGTTTCTAAGAAACTTGAGTTTGTATTTGTAATTATATTATTCTTTATTAGATACACGATATAACAATAAGTTTACAAAATTAACAGTAAATTTGGTTGCACAATAAAAAAACACAGGCAATAGTTGCGTTAAGTTGGATTCTTATGCAGATACCGTCGCTTTGTCACAGGATGCTAATTGGTGAAAAATGAGTGATGGGAATAAATAACGAACGCTTTCCATTTAGTGACATAGGTCGACACAAGTATCATTTTATTCTTGTTAATCATGAAAGCTAAAAAAGATAGAACGATACTTGTGTCGATTTGTGTTATTAAGTGGAAAGCGTTCGTTATTTACTCCCATCACTCACTCTTTTTCACCAATTAGCGTTCTGTGTCAAAATACCGGTTTCTGTAAGAGGATCCAGCCTTAGTTTTAATCCTCATGCAGACACCAGCACTTTCGCACAAATGCTGATTGGAAAAATGAGTAAGTGGGGTTAAAACGGCGAATGAATCTTTGGATTTCCTTTTTTTTTTTTTTATTTTCGCAATAATGCTGCACTTGAATAGAACTAAAACTGAGTTAGTGCAAGCGAGGATACAATGCAAATGGACAATAAAGAACGTTGTAGTATAGAACAGTGTAAAGACAACATGGCGAATCGCATGGTTCTTATGGAATTATTAGATTCTTCTGATGATGATGAACCTGTAATTGCACATCCACTATTAGAATCAATTTTAGTTGAAGATAATGATGGTAAGAAATTTAAATCATATATATTATCATATATATTATTATATACAAACTTAATATTATTAATAATATAATACGCAAGATTTAATTTCGTTCTAACTTTTTAGAACGAATAACAAATATTACACCCATTGTTTGGTTTAGACAGAATACAACATGTAAAAGTACAGAATTATATCGAAAATATTGTTATTAATTATGATGACAAAGATTTTACAATAAATTTTCGATTATCCAGAGCAATAACATACGAATTGATAAATCAATTCACAGAATCAGATATATTTATTTTTATACAAACTAAGTATACGTTTTTATTTCTACATAGAAAACAGGATAGAAATAATACGATAAGATTATTCATAGATAATAGAAAAAAATTTATAAAAAGTATCAATTTTATTATATATTAAACTTTATATTATATTACGTTATTATGCTATTTCATTATATATTTTTCTTTTTTTTTTTTAGTATTGTGTGGAATGTACAAAAATAAAAATAGAAAAACATATTGTAAGAAAGTTACTAGGAAGTCCCTAGGATATCCGGTGGATGGCGCCATGAGTGCTGTTCAGTAACCAAAAGAGCGCCTCTTGAACGAACACGACCCGAGTGAGTGACACGAAAAAGGGACCAATCAGACAAGGGCTGATGCAATCCTTGTTATTTCTGAAATCACCGAACGTGCTCCGATGCGCGGAGCAGCGAGCGACGGGTGACTCTCTCCTCAGTCGGTGAATGGGACGGACGTGTCATCCGCGAGAGATCCAGTCGAATAGTCGAAAAGTAGTTGTACTTAATATAGTCGAGATATCGTCTCCAACGATATCTATTAAATCGTAGTATTACGTGGTACTCAGTGAAAATAGATAAATTAGTTAAAGGCAGTGATTGTACGGAATAACATCGAGATATCGTTAAAAGCGATATTTATTAAAACGTGTATTAAATCATAGACAATAAATAAAAGACAGACAGTAAATCCTG